AGCCGCAATCCCAGTCTTATTGAAAATATTCAGAACATGCTGGAATGCCACGTCGGCACCAGAAAACCAACCCATTTATATGACATCTACCATATCTGATCATTGAAGTCCAAATATCCATACAGAATTATGACAGATACTCATAATTGCAATAATAATACTTATTACTGTACTAATTTATCATTAATATCATTATTATCATTAAAAATTGTAAATTTAGTTTTGAAATGGCGTGGATTAGAAAAAAAAAATCCTAAAGAAGTTCTAAATAGTGCAACCTATTCTTGTATTTCAGTTTTATGAAAAATAAGTCAAAATGAAATGCCCTAATAATTAATGTGAAATGTGATGTACAGACTTCTGAAAGGAAGTGCATTTGTGAAAGAGCTTCACACAGGTAATGCGACCAATTCAAACTCTCAATTGTGGGGAAATACAGAACGAAACTGCATTTCTTGAACGATGTCTTGAACATACATACAAATCATTTCCTCCCTGCTGCTGCTGGTGAAGCGCCAGTTATTTGCAACCAATGGATTCGACACAAAGCTATGACACGAATAGCTCGATTTGCAGTATTGGTTTGTTTTGTAGCCCGTGTTTGCTGGGTGTTTTCACAGAGCGATGTCTTCTCAGGGCTAATAAACCCAAACCTGAAAGCTGGCGCTGATTCAGTGGGATTCCTGTCAGCAACGGTGAAATGATGCTAATTATTCAGGATGGCTGGCAGCTCACTGCTATTATTAGCATGAGAAAACATGCAGCTGTCAAGCTCCGTTCATCAATTGGCCAACTGATAATCATTGACCCCCTCACCCCAAAAAATAAAAAAACACATCACTGATAAATAATACTCATGTTAATAATAATAATTTTCTACTACAAGCTGACAAGCAACGTGATTATGTGGCTAATTAGCTCCAAAGCTAAAGCTGCTGCTGCTGCTCTAACAGTGGCTACTTACACATCGATTGTCCTTTGAGGAGGAGTTAAAAAACACGCAGCGCGACTCGTTAATTACACTCCGAGAGTCCATTTTAAGACAACACGTCTTTAAAATAAATACTTCTGCTCAGCTTGTTATGGTTTGGTTGTGGCTTTCCTTTTTACTTCCTGTTACTACCGTGCGCGCGAAGGGACACAAAGGGACAAGCTCCCTGAGTTTGCGTGATGAAACCCTGTGACATGAGGGAAACGTTTCCAAACTTTAAATATGTTTGTTTGTTTTTTTTTCAAATTTCTCTCAGAGGAAAACGTTTTATAGATTCAGCATTTAAGTTTAGAAACTTAAGTTTTTAAATAAAATTGTCCTAAGAATCCTGACCTAAAGAATGTGTAACCCTTGAGCTTTTCCAAACGTAATGATGTTACAAACATAAATATGAATGCGTTTTGTTGGGATTGTATGTGTTAGAATGCTTTTGAGTAGCTCTTCAACCAATTTTGTACATCTGGAGGCTGAAATTCTGGCTCTCTCACAAAATGGATTGAATTCCTTTGACTGCATTTTTGGGTTTTACCTCCCAAAAATGTTTTCCTTTTCTAGAATTGCCTTCAATTGAGCTATGCCATCTTACTATAAGCATGATCCTGCCACCAGCACCTTTCATGAAGTATGTGGGCTTCTACCACATATAGAGAGTTAGCTTAGTTTTGGTCTCTCTCATGAGAGCAACTTCATCAACATGTTTGCTGTGACTTGTGTGAAACACGAAAGGCGACATTTATGACATTCTTTCAACAACTGCTTTCTCCTTGCCATTTTTTTCTTTATCACGTAAAATCTTGCCAGCGACGTACCCGAAATTACGGAGTGCATGACTAAGACTTGTACATCAACAAATTCTCCAATCTTGGTGGATCTCTGCAGCTCCTCCAGAGTTACTACGAATGTCTTGACAGAACACCTGTATTCATATTTATACAGTGATTAAATTACACATAGGTTGAACACTTGGGTGGTCACTTCTGAGTAAATAATATCACACTATTTCTGAAAGATATTTAAAAACTATGCACTAAATTCTGAATATTATGCATTAATACACGGTGATTGTTGGTATACTCCTAAATTAACCTCTTCTTTTGCTACAAATTAGTAGGGCTTCATACAGAAAAAGTAACCACCATAAATTTCCATAAGGACAAAGCACAATCTTGTTATGTAACTAAGAGAGATGAGAAGTCGTCTAACCGCTCTTACAAAACATGGATGAACTGCCAACAGGGTGTGTTGTACTGCGTCTTTGTCCAGAAGCTTTTGTTGTTACTGGCTTTCTAACGATAGTTTTTACATCATGTAAAGAAACTCCTAACACGTAAATTTTTACTTAACACGTTAGGATTTTCTCAATCTATTAGAATCATTTTTGTGTTCTTGGGAAAATCAACTTTACTCACACTCCAAATTTGTCCGGCGTTAAATTTCCATTGAACTGTGTGACTTTTTAAATTAAAAAAAAAAAAACATAACTTTGACTAAGCCGTGTAAGTTTACATTTAGAAGCACTATTTGCTGTTTTTTCCATTTATTTCTTGAAAAGATTAATTTTTGCTGATGCGAGGGTTTTGCCTTACAGCGGTAACAATAGGTACACAAAATTACAATTTACAGTAATACAGCCCAGCCCAGATTTTTTTATTTTTGTTTAACTGTGTAACACTATTATCTCTGTGGTTAATCATTTGGTTATTTATTTTACAATGCAATACACTTATCTTTGTGGTCATATCTGTTCTACTTGCAAACTAATTCACAATCATTCAATCAAACTTTATTTCTAAAGCTTATATAGGGTGAGATTTAAGATACATTTTTTTCCAGAGGTTAAAAATACAACGGACATCTGGTTCAGGAGACTGTTTTAAAGTAACAGCCATATTTCTTGCTTGTTAGTTTATTACTTAGCCTTTGTACTAGAGAAATTCATATTATACTTATTGTTTTTGTTACATTAGTCCACTTTTTTTTTTTTAAAGACAGCAAAGTTTGCTATATAAGCAATCGTGTTCCCATAGAACAATATTAGGCAGGTACTTTGCATAAAAATGGACGACTGATGTAGGTTGCATCAGTGAGTTTATTTCAGGTTCAGATTAATTCGCAGATTGACAAAAAAAAAAACATTTATTTTTTTAAAACCCATTTATTTCTGACATGCTGCTCCTTCTTTTTGTTATCCAGTTATCCAAAATCCTCAATTTCTTAAGGAATTCACTGTGCACAATACTGAGGCATGCCAGGTTTTTAGTGAACAAATGATTAAAAAAAAAGAACTAAAAAGGTCAAAATGAAACAATTAAAACCTTGAAAAATATCCCTCAAAATGAATTTCAGTGTCTGGTTTCTTGAAAGCAGAAGTTACTTAAAATTGAAGGAATTCACTTTTTCATACAATTGCTTCATTGCCGGTTATTAATACACATACAGTGAGCTTTTTTTATAAAAAAAAAAAAAAAAAAAGCTATGTTTGCAATGTTTAATGGTAATAGTAATAAGTTGACCGACTCTTGGAGCTAAATCTGATGTTCTGGATTTTTCTGCGCTTCATTTCCATGTTTGTGTGCAGCCAAAATGCCAGAGGTTCAAGGTGTTGGCTCTTGAAACTTAACACACAGGGAATGTTCCTCAACCTGCTGGCCATTTAATCAACACCCTCTTTAAACACACTCAGCAATGTAAGTGACTCTGCAGAGCTTTTATTAATGTAACTACTGGGATTACTGTTACCAAATGAAGTAGCCTATGATTGCAAGCTAAATTGTAGAATTGAACTGGCATGAAATTTGTATCTCTCTTTCAAAGCCACTGTTTTTAGCCAAACCATAAACAGATGAAGTCATTTTCTCATGTTGTTGTTTCCCCGCTAACAGCTTGTTTTGGTTGAATACTGTCAGTGGTATATTGCTAGAATTCAATTGTGCAAAGCATTGTTTATCACCAAAATGAATGTCCAACGCATTAAAGCTAATTGTCTTTGTATTTTAACAGTGCATTTTGAACACTAATGGTACAAATGCTGATATCATTTATTGCAAACCATCATTTGAGATCAATCGTGACGAGGGATCAGAGTAGGGCAAGAACATTGCTGATAGGCAGCTATAAGCAGATCCAGATCATGGATCCTTTTTTACTTTTTCCCGTCCTTTTTTTTCTTATGCTGTTAGCTTTGCATGCACTAAATGTAATGGGAAGTTTATTTCCCAAAAAGATTCACTTTTATTTCATCGGTCCAGAAGCGCTGGGCTTCGTCACGATGCCTTTTGAGTCAAGTCTTTGATTTCTTTTTGGTTAGCGGTTCTTTTTGTTTTGGTTTCCTGGAGCTTTTCCATAGACATGATTTTTGTTTCTAAACCTTAGAAATGACTTAATCCTTTCCAGACTGAGGTTATTGGAATTACCTTGTTGTTGTTGTTGTTGTTGTTTAATCTGTCCTCAGGTTTCTGTAGATCATATCATAATGTTTTGCTTTTTTAGTTCTTCCTGCCTGTACTTCCTGTCATTGTACAAGTTTGTTTGAGCGATTTTTTGAATTTACAGTAGCAAAGCAATTATGAGGCCAGTTTAACCGAACTCAGCTTCACCGTAAAATTGGTTAATCATAGTAAATTTAAGCTCTTGAAGTAGAACAGGTGTACTTCACTTATGTTGGGTCTGGACAGCTTGTTTTCTCTAAGACCATGAACGAATCATCACCAGTAAATTTTTGTGCTGCAAATGTGGCCTTCATATCGCATTCAAATTTACCGCTAAATGTTTCAAAAATGTTTTAAATACATTTTTACAACGGTCAAGTTTCTGTTAGTTAGATCCCTATCCTAAAAATATAACAGACAATAGACGTGACTATTTGTTAACATCCAAGCACTTATTAGGTGACTTCATTACCCAGAAAAAAAACAAAAAGTTGAGAGTAATATGGTGCAGTGAAATGTGAAAGCCGCAAATCGTGAGACATAAATGCAGTCGGGTAGAAAAACGACACTCCAAGAAGTAGTACATTTATATAAAAGTTTATTAAGTACACGTAAATATATATATATATATATTTTATAAAGGTGCATACAAAAGTAATTGCTTGTTTTGACAGATGGACCTTGCAGTGACAATAATACCGAACAGGGTAAACCACAGTGACAACAGAGACAAGCATCTCATGGAAACCCTCATCATTCTCCTGGCAGAAGAATTATCATTTGATTCCAGTTCATTGACCATGTCGGACACAAAGAGATCACGGACAGCTGCACAGTAAGCAACCGCCTCCTTCTAAACAAAAGAGAGCAACGTCTAAGCAAAAAAAAAAAAAAAAAAAAAAAAAAAAAAACAGACTGAGAGAGAGAGAGAGTCAGCAAAGGACAAAATCCACGTGAACCCACTGACATCACCGTCATCTCGGCAGAGGAGACGACGAGTCCTTTTGCCAGGCTTGGTTCGGTCCACTTCTTCGTGCGCAAAGCTGGAGCACGAGACGAGGTAAATAAATAGGCTACGTTAAATAAAGACTTAAATAGTGTAAGTGATGCTTTAATCAGGACCAAAGACCACGTGGCCGCTGCCTTCTTCACCACCTCTCGGATGGCGGTGAAGACGCCTGCCGCTGTTTGCATCAGCAGCAGGAATCAGGAAGAAAGTTCAGATCAATATATATATTGAGATATGTATATATATATAAATCAACAGTCCAGTTTGTGCGCGCGCCTCGCTTTACTGGCCCCATCCTCCGATGCCAATTTCCTGTTTGTAGCGCTTGGTGAGCGAGTTGGCTTGCTGGGTCAGCTTGGACAGGACGCCCTGCAGTCCGGTCAGGTGGTACTGGAACTGCTTCTGCAGGTCCTCGTCCTCTCCCTCGTCCTCCTCCTCGGAGCACGACGCCGAGCAGGAGGAGCAGGTGGAGGCGGAGGAGCAGGTGGAGGCGGAGGAGTGCGAGCGGGTCACTTTCATGCTCTCCTTGAGCCGCTGGTCGGCCGACGCGCACCGGACGCCCCACTCCATGTCGCTGCGGATGGACTTGAGCAGCTCGTAGTAGCTGTACATGTCCCCGTCCTCCACGTCCGACTTGAGGACGCCCATCTCCCTGTCCTCCTCCAGCGGGACGTCCCGCAGCAGGCTGGGCACCAGGATGGTCTGGTCCATGTCGTTGACGGCGCCGATGAAGCGGTTCATGGCGTTGAAGAGCGAGTTCTTCTGCCTGGAGGTTTCTGACAGCTGCATCATCATCTTGGCTCAAGTTTTCGGGTGTTTTTGTTGTTTCGTGCTTCTCTTCTTCCTGCCGGGCTTCTGTGGGCTGTTCTGTTTCGTTGTGGCTCCCAGCTCAGGAGGATCCCTTCTTATAGTCGCTGCCGAGGCGGTTCCTAAACCCGTTTGTCACTCTTGAAACCTGAACCGGACGACCTGAAATGGCACAGAGACGGGAACGCCAGATGAACGCCGAGATCTGGCACTGTCGCCGCCTGCACAGACCGGATGGACAAGTTCTTCTTTGCATAAGATTCATTCATTTCCAGATCTCGTGCAAAGCGTAATAACAATTTTAAATATATCTGCTTTTTAATGCACAAAAGTTTTAGACCCACAACTCATCCTACAACCTCAGTGAATCTTTAAAACCTTCACTTCCGGTGAAAGATGGCAAAAAAACAACAAAAAAAAACCCAACAAAAAAAATGTAATCCACATATCACACATTCTGTTCTGATGAGCAAGAAGTTTGTTCACGCGGGGGCGGGGAGTGCGGAAATCAGCCCACTGAGCAGACGCCCGGCAGCCAATCACAGGGCAGGGTTGTGTTTCTGTCGGGGCGGGCCGAAAGCAAGGTGCATCAATGAGAAGCCAGTGTTGTCCTACTGCGATTACAGAAGAGCCGAGCAACACGTGTTTTCCCTTCTAGTGAAGGACGAGAAACATCCATACCTTAGAAAGGACACGTCTGTCAGCTAGAAGGTTTCTGGACTGCTTTCAACTTGGTGGCATTCTTTCTGTTTCAAAGAGAGTCACAGTGATCTATTTTCACAAAACCATGTCAGCTTTTTGTGTTCTCCTTTTGGAGCGTTACAGCTGCAGACCTCAAGATGTTTATTGGGATTTTATAGACCAACGCAAAAAAAAAAAAAAAAAACACCAGCATGCACTGTTGAAAGCAACAAAAAAACTCAACAGACTTCTTGCGTAAACCCCTTTTAGCAGAGTGAGGTACCGACTGCTGTAAAGTCCAGCAAACCTTCAGTGCCAGACGTTTTAGTGTTGTCGCTGTAGCCTTTTGGGATGCATTCAGCGACTGGTTTTGACTGTTTTCATTGGTAAAAAAAAAAAAAAAGTACATTTCCTCTCATGACCAAAATTATGTGTAGGCCGATTGGATTTATGTTGCTTTAACTGGATGTAGAATATCATGAAAATGCTTGTCCGCTTTTTCAAGACAACTTTGACTCCCGGATCGAGGAGGTATTCAGTGAAACGGCCAACCCCGGACTTTGACTTGAAAGCAACGAGTGCAAAACATCGCTTGGCAGCGGGATTTGGACTTTTAGAAATTCTGGATCAAACACAGCAGGCGACTTCCAACCACAGTTAGAATAGCTCCAATGACTTATGAAAGATATCCTAATGGAGTATGTAATAGTTATAGGGAAAAGTTTTCCATTTTGATGGGAATGTGCCTGGTGGCTGTCATGTTTGGGTATTTTCTTCTGGGGTGACTGCAGTCCATTGGATTTTTATATTACACATACACCCAAACTGTTACACCAGCCGGTTTCCTGTAGAGAAGGTAAACAGCTGAGCATCCCCCCCGCTATCCGTCAGCTGCGGGGTAAACACGGGGACTTCCACGACTCCTGCCACAAAAATAGCCTCTGGAACAGTTCTGGTTACTGTATGTGCACTGGGAGGGTTGAGATTGAAATCTGAGCTCCTGTAAATACCTCTTCTCAAAACGAAACTACAGAAGTGTTGCCTTGCGTCGGAAGTTAAATGACACATGGGTTGGTGCCCCCCTGAATGCGGAGACGGGTCAGTGTTATGTAAAAAAGGATGAGCTCAGAGCCCTGCTATGAGGCTGGACAGGAAGCAAGGCGGGCTGACCGAGACTATTTGCTGATAGCACAGGTTGTTCTGCATGGGAGGAGATGAGTAAATGTTTGGACATTGTTGCCGGGTAGGAATTAAGGGAATGTGGATTCTGAGGTGGTAAAACCTGCTGGGTCGGTTTCAGTCTGGGTCCCAGGCCACTTCTAGAAGCCCTATGTGTGATAAGTTTATTGTTCTCCTAAATTTCAACCCTAAAATGGGGCTGCGGATGTCTGTCCTGTCAGACTCAAAGACTTCACATAAAACATCAGATGAAGTCTGAGATAAGAAGTTTTTAAAAAAAGAGGTTTTCAAATAATGCGGTTGTTTACTGAGAGTCAAAGACCTATCTAAACTAAAATGACCTCGTGTGAAAATTTCACAGAAGAACAGACGAGCTGATCTGCTTACTATTGGAAGACGTTTGACCCTGTGCAAACTGCAAAAGACGTAGATCAAAAGGAAAAATTCTGTTTTTGGTTACTTTTCTAAAGTGCGTTCATAACTTTTGTCTGGCCCAGTTTCGTGCTCATGCTTTCTCGTGATGACTCCATTTTTAACATTAAACTCCAGATCCACGGGGCAAACACCACAAGCAGCTCGAGAACGAGCCTCCGAAATGCACAAACAGACAATCACGCGAAGTTAAAATATTGTGTTTCTCTATTTTTGTGACTAGATTGGGTGACCACGGCCTAGTTTTGTAGGCCATGTCAAACTTTCTTCATCTCGCCAATTTCAGGTGGTTAGCAGGAAAAGCAGTTCAACACAAACCAGTCCAAACTGGTTGCTACTCACGCAGTGACGGCTGCAGCCAAACAAGAGCAAATTGCATACAAACGCATGAGGTCACTGGTGGGAATTGGTTGTCCTCTGTGGCCTGGAGAGAACAATAGAACACATCAAAAGTGTAGCATTGACAATTCTTTCATCTGTAAATGCAGTTCAGTATTTTTCAAACTGAGGTCTAATTCAGAATTTCTCATCCAGAATATGCAAAGTGAAGACCCTTGAAAACTTTATTCTTACTTGTAAATACATTTAAAGTTGCTAAAATGTGTCAAGTTGAAACAATTAAGTACTCATTTTGGAAATCCGATGTAAAAAAAAAAAAGTGTGTGTGATTTTTGTCGCCTCTCCCCACTTGGTGTCCATTTGTATTCAGCCTCAGTGAATCAAATAGTGCAAAGAAGATTTTTGCACTATTCTCTTTGCAAACTTTACCAGCGTCTTTGAGCATCCAGCTTCAAGCCTCTCCATAAAATACACGAATTTGCTCTGATCTGAGCCGTTCAATGCTGGCTTCTATTTTCCTCTTTGTCAGCGCCTGCATTTCTCTCTTAGTGTGAAAAGCATATGCAGTGCCTTGCCAAAGTGCCTGTGCCCCTCGAGCAATTTGTCGCGCTACAGCAACAGGCTTCGTTGTGTTTTACTGGGATTTTATGCGACTGACCAGCACAAAGTGGAACATAAATGTAAAGCCGGAGGAAAGTGTTGTTTTTTTTAAAATAAAAAACTCAAAACTGAAAGCTGAGTTATTCAGTTGGGGAGCCACGTTTAGTTGTAATTGAACCAGCAACTCTTTTGGAGCTTGTCTCTGTCAGCCCATTCTTCTTTACAGAATTTGTCTAATTCAGACAGACTTGATGGGGAGTGGGCTCTGCAGACGGCAGGTCCGATGCCCATTTCCAGCGGTCTACATGGACAAATGTAGTTACTAAGTTTTCTCCTGAGTTTGAAGCTGTTTTTTTGTTTTTTTTTGCTGCTTCAGGAACAAAGCTCCACTAACAGTCTCTCGGCTTCCTCTCTGCAGATTATCTGATCCCAGATTCAGCCTGAAAACAGAAAGACTAAACCAGGTCAGCAGAGCCAGTGTGTACAGCTGCTGAGCAGAGATCAGAGAGAAACAGGGGCTGGCTTTGCTGCTCTCAACAGCGCTGTCAGTCATGCGCCCCACCTCACTGACTTCATCTATTCTCCTGAGGAATAAAAAAAAAAAAAAAAAAAAAAAAAAGGCCTCTCCACTTGTCAGGGAGGACGCGCCGTGCCTGAACGCCACAGCGAAACCTGGATCAAGTCGGGAGGGTTCCTCAATTGTGTGTCGTGTCAGAGAGCCGAGCATCCACAGATTACCGCGGGTGTCATCATCATCATCATCATCATCTCTGAGGCTTCAAAGGGCGAGAAAGGAGAGAGGAAGAAAGAGGGGTGGAGGGGTGGGGGGTGCGGGTGCTGGGAGGGGGTGGGGTGGAGAGGGAATGAGGGTTAGTGGTGCGTTGAGCTACAGGAACAGGCAGCTTGAGTGGGAACTCTAGTACTTGTCATCGCGGCGGCATGTTGCTGGAAAGCGTGAGGCAAGGGGTGTCAGCGGGAAGGCTGCAGGCAAAGCAGCAACAGCAATTAGAACGACAACAACAACAACAACAGGGGGAAAAAACAGCAGCGATAACAGCTCCCATCACAAGCAGGAAGGTGAAGTGAGACAGCCTGGCTACGTTTACTTTATAAGATTGTAAATGAGGCATTTTAGTGGCATGCATGAGGGAGTGTTTGTCTTTGTCTCTGCGCTGCGGTGGGAGGAGGGCTGGGTTGCTGCCTTTCAAAATCAGATCTGCATTAGGAAGCAAAGTCGTTCGCGCCCTGGACCTTTTGCACGTTTTGATGTGACTAAGCAGGCATTTTGTTTAAAAGACAGATTTATTCTCAGCACCATGACCGTCTTTTATTTCAACATTTTAAAATGGTGACCTATCAAATCCTCATCAAATCTTGTCATGAGCAACACCTAGCATGTTTCACTCTAATGTTTTACAAGGGTGCAGTACAATCAAGTAATCATGTTGGCTTCAGTTGTTACAGGAGTCAAATATGAATTAAAAATACATGTCACTTCAATTGTCACCTTGAAATTGGACTTCTGTCTCTTTAAAAACTCAAGCTCTTTCTCAAACTCCAGGAAGTCATCACAACATGGCTCCTCCATCAACCATTTAACGACGTTTTCACCAGCCTTGCACTGAGAAGTGGCTTGCATAATGAGTTCAGGAGATGCACAGGGTGACTGCTGCTGGCTAGTCTGAAGGAGCAGATTGGAGAGGGGGTGGGGGGGATGCGGGGGTGTGGCAGCTCTGTGAGGCGGAACTTTTGGAGCTTGGAAAACGGCGGTCTGAGGAGGAGCTGCGTCTCAAAGGCGGCGCTAGGTCCACCTAGCTGAACGGTAGCCGCGGGAGATTAAAGGATTTCTCAACAATGCGTG